TCACGAAACACCAGAAATATAATTCACCTACTCATTGGGATATAACAAATTGTATACTTATTATCAACTCTCTACCCAATACTCAATTTAATTTAAATGATCAAGTCCAGCTTTGGTACTGTTATATATCCATGTGTATTGTTTAGCTGTAAAATGGCATTATATTAAATAGTATGAGGAGAGAGTAAGGGGTTCTCAAGAACAGTTGGATATCGAGCATTTTTTTTCTGTTTATTTAGCAAGGGGAATGTTGCATATAAAAATGTGATTTACGTTGAGGACTTTATTTTAATTATTCTAAAGTTATACATATAGTTGTCTTTTATGAACATTCTACTATAAGTTATTCCAACTTATTGAATGAGCAAATCGAAAGGCGGATACAGCGACAGTTAGAGCTTGAAATAAGATTTTCGATGAAAATTATGATCTTATAGGCAATTTTCATTTATTTATTTTACTATCAGCTCTTAAATGTCCTGGAACGGCCGAGGGTGGGAAGAATCATCTCTCCCTCTCCAAATGCACATGGCCACGCATGTACAACCACTGACAGGGAAATTCTTCTCACTGCCTGCTCGTGGCATTAATGTTGTTTACGAAAGTGACAGGACGAAAAGTGAATGTCCGGCGCTCTAACGTGGTTGGTGGATACGGATGATCCACCTAGGGAATTGGAAAACCTTGATTCCTAACCAACGGTGCACATGGGCTCCAGTATCCTGAGGAAACAAATGGCGTATAAATCTATTGTTGGCCATCGGCTACCATAAGGATGTATCTCCTGACGTCGCTCCACTTTCTTGTGGATTAGATTTTTAGATCAAAGGCTCAGGGAGTGGCCTCACAAGAAAACCCTGTCAGTATCACAGCACACACACAAATTAAGTGGCTTGCGTAGCGCATATGTATTCGGTTTATGTATGTCAGTGGATCAGTGATATCTATCACTTTCTTTGTCTAGTGTGAAATAGTTTAATTCAACAAACATTTTCATATTTATATGCTAGGCTACTACTAGTTACAATTAATGTTTAGACGAACTAGTTATAATTAAATGATCGTTGATTAATAACCAACGTTATTTTTGTTTTGTCTCACCGTGTTCATCGAATCCTATTAGTCGATTCGTAATATGGTTACTAGTCTTAGTGACTCGATGTTGTGTTCATTTTATTTTGTTTTTCGGTGTTTGTAAAGTAGTCCACAGTAAATCCTGTATCTATGGTTCGTGCTAGTTAGTATTCATCAGCAACGTGTGCCTACAATTAACAGAACTCAATCAGTACTAAATAACTAGACAAACACGATATTGTTCATTACTCAATGCTCAAACAAGTTACATATCTCTATCCTACAGGAGGTTAATTATGGCTCAAATGATGCTCAGTGATGCCGATTCAAATCTCACAGGGATCATCAGTTCACCTAAGACTTCAAATATTTCTTCTTGACAAGTCCAAACTAGCAAAATGCTTAGTTTCAAGGTGTTGTGCTATCTATGCCATGGCTAACTAACAGGAACTAGTTATACTATCTACTTTACTAAAATCTCTATAGCTACAGACCGTTTTATTCTCTATATTCATCATCAACTAATGATCGTTGAATTATAGTTGTACATTTTGAACATCGACATTTTAAACATACAATAAATATTACTTCCAATATTTCCTTTAGACCTATATTAAAAACTATATTTCACCTGATATTGTTTACTTATATCTTCCCAACGGTACTGGATTCGAGTCTCAGAGTGAACACGTACATTCAGTTAACGAGTCTCAAATAGGACGAAACACACGTTAAACTGCATTCTACTACTAGACGCCATTTATCTTTGCTTATAAAATAAAACTATATTTGTTGTTTATATACAGATCATAAAATCCCTATCCTTAACATACTAGTTTCTCTTAGAAACAAAAAAAAGCGAGAGAGAAAAAAAATCGGTTTTGTTTGTTGTTGTTGTTGTAACAACCTAAAACGTACAAATACACAGTTCATAGAAGTACTTTTAGTGAATACGATTCTAACCCAAGTGATTTATTTGTTTAACTAAAAAGAATGTTTCTATGCAGCTAACTTCCTTGGTCGTTTTGTTTATTATTATTATTATTTAAATACAAAGAAGCCTATTTTCTCCTTGATTCATACACAATTAGTTTACATGTGATACTATTGTGTATATCATATGATCAAAGCATAAAATTTATAGTAAAAAAAAACAACGAAAAAAACTACCATCATTGATCTCTTCTTTGAATCATATATCGGTTTTCTGATTCTTCCTTCCTGTGTGTGTATGTTTCCTTTTATTAGGCATTGAATTATTTAATAACTGAATTCATGAGTCAATTAAAGTTAGATCACTATGAAAAACCTTGAAGCACTGGATGGTCGTTTCGTCCTAATGTGGTATTCCTCAATGGTGCTCATCCAAGATCTGCTCATTAGTAACTGTCTTCAAGAGGTATTTCCTGGAGTTCTAGTGAGAAGTTGTGACCAGTGGAGTTCAATCAGGTCTGTTGTTAGGCGGTGATTCACTGAAGACAATGGTGGATGGTGGTGAAATTTCGTGGATTGGTTGAAGTTACACAATAACACTGTTGAACGCCGGCCTGCCCAGTGGTCTATAGGTTAACCGTTCTCACGCGAGACCAAAGACCTTAGGTTTGAATCCCGCGAGTGAATCGTGGATATACACTGCTGAGGAGTCCCTCAGTAGGACAAAACGGCCGTCCAATGGTTCCAGGTTTTCCATGGTGGTCTAGCTTTAATCGACTCATGAATTCAACTCTTAAACTACCACAATTAACACAAAACCCTGTTTCTGATAATTGAATTAGTTCACTTCTTCAAAGTTGAATAGTACATTTTCATGCTAGAAAGCCCTATTTTTCCAATATTTTATTTGAAAAGTGAACTTAATGGCTTGAGAATCTGAAATTTGATTGGTTTCTTGAACTAAATCTTACATTAGTTAAAATAGAGTTCTTAATGTTTGCCGGGTAAATAGTACGGTACGATACGAACAGGATCGTGGATGTGCACTGTTGAGTAGTCCCATACTAGGATGAAATAACCATCCAAGACTTCCAGGTTTTTAATGGTGGTCTAACATCAATTAATTCGTGATTTTAATCAGAAACATGATAGTAATCCGTAGTTTGGGATTGATCATATGTAATCAACCAAACATGGCCACGCGTATATTGCCTCCGCCAGGGAAGTCCTACTCATTGCCTTCTCGTGGCGGGGGTGTTGTTTACAAAAATGAGAGGACGAAAAGCGAATGTCGGGCGCTTTGATCGGGTTGGTGGACATGGAGAGTCCACCTAGGGGATTTGGAAAACCCTGATTCCAAACCAATGGTGCACATGGGCTCCAGTATCCTGCGGGAAAAAATGGCGTATAAACCAATCGTTGGTCACCGGCTACCATGTGACTGCATCTCCTTACGATGCTCCACTGCCTTGTGGATCAGACCTTCAGGTCGAAGGCTCCGGGTGTGGCCCCCTAAGAAAATCACCTGCTTCGGCTTGGGCACCCAGGCAGTATCACAGCACTCACACAAATCAAATGAGATTTGTGTGGCGCATATGTATTTGGTGCCTTCTTGCACCAATATCTATTTGTTAAAATAAATAAAACAAGAGTCGTATTGAATTCAAATCGTAGAGTTGAATTCTGGTAATCAATATAAGATACCATTTCATTAAGGGTGTATAGTTAACAAGTATTATAGTATTTACTTCCTATTTGATTAAGTTCACAAAGTGATTACTTCCTATTTACAATCTCGGAGAAAGTCATTAATATATATGTATACAGTACAGTAAACAATTAAACAGTTGAATTATTTCAAGAATATATATATGTTTTATAGAAATACCGACTTAAGCATGTGAATTATATTTACCGCATTCTGAAATTACTCATATTCCAAATTAACCTTATGATTTTTATTATTATTATTATTATTTTTATTTGAACACATATATATTGGTACAGGAATGCGCCAAACATATATGCGCCACACAATTTCAGTTCATTAATTGCGTGTGGGCTGCGTTACTGCCCGGGTGCCCAGACCGAAGCAGGTGGTTTTCTTAGGCGGCCACACCCGGAGCCTTCGACCTGAAGGTCTGATCCACAAGGCGGTGGAGCATCGTAAGGAGATGCAGTCACATGGTAGCCGGTGACCAACGATTGGTTCATGCGCCATTTGTTCCCGCAGGATACTGGTGCCCATGTGCACCATTGGTTTGGAATCCGGTTAAAGCGCCCGACATTCGCTTTTCGTCCTCCCATTTTCGTAAACACCCCCGCCACGAGAAGGCAATGAGTAGGACTTCCCTGGCAGAGGCTGTATACGCGCGGCCGTGTGAGAGTATTTCAAGAGGGAGGGCGAACCCACCCCGCTCTCGGCCATACCAGGGCGTTTGGGGGCAACCTTATGATTTAGTCATTAGTTGTAATGTATTAAAAAACAACTGGTAATATTAACCAACAAAGTGATTCTCATATAGTTATTCACATTTGGTTGATCACTGGGTAGTGATTAATATCATATATGTCAAGTTCTTCTTAGTGTAGATCAAATGTTATTGACCAAGTTGCAATGTGGCTACTAGTCTAGGTGACTCGACATTGTATACACAATGTTTAGATTAGATGGTGGTTGGAGGTAGTCAACAGGAAACCATGGAATTGGTTTTCGTGCTCTTTGGCACTCATCAGCAAGTTGTACCTGTAGCATTCGATCTGCACTAAAAAGGACTTAATACACATGACATTGGGGTTACAGAGATGGTACAATCCACTGACTCAACACCTTACATGATTCCTTAAAAAAAATAATTTCACACTTCTTCATTTGTCATCAATATTTTACGCATATTTCTATCTATGATCTTGTAATCCCCTCACATCTATATATTATATATATTTTGCTTTGTTGTTGTTTTTATTCACCCTCTAAATACACACATATATAGGAAAGTATGCTTAATGGACGTATACATCCAGTTGGACAAGTTGAAGGATTTTCAATTGAATTAGGCGCTAGTGGCTCATTCTATCCAAATCATATACGTCTTCCAATGAAAGCATATTTTTTCAATTTATCTGATGATAATGCACCATCACCGTATTTAGGCTATGCTGATTTAAAACAATTACCTAGTAATAAAGGTTATCATATACCGAAGAAAGGTTCTATTCAAGTAAGTTCATTGTTGTTGTTTGTAAGTTGTTATCAATCATTTAGTTAATTAGATAGCTAGTTATTTTGTTTAGTTAATGCATCTAACTCATTATTCTATGATACGTTAATGATGACCTATATTGTCTCAATTCTTAATCTTTTCTATAATCACTAATAGTATTACTACTTCTACTAATCTAGGATTTGCTTTGATAGTATCATCTCACTACATTTTCTTGATGGAGTTTCGTTCTCTGAGCTAGATGGTTCAGTCGTGGAGCTTTCATTGTTCTTCTGAACGACATCATCAGCACAAACTTCAGATACAAGTCTATCTAGCTCAGAGAACAAAACTCCATCAAAATAATCCACCTGAACTACCGAATGCCCTGGTATGGCCGAGAGTGGGGTGGGTCCACCCTCCCTCTCGAAATGTTCTCACACGGCTACGCGTACACAGCCTCTGCCAGCGAAGTCCCACTCATTGCTTTCTCGTGGCATTACTGTTGATTACAAAATTGAGAGAACGGAAGACAAATGTCCGGCGCTTTAACCGGATCCCAAACCAATGGTGCACATGGGCTCCAGTATCCTGCGGGAACAAATGGGGTATGAACCAATCGTTGGTCACCGGCTACCATGGGACTGCATCTCCTCACGATGCTGCACTGCCTTGTGGGCCACACCTTTAGGTTCAAGGCTCGTGGTGTGGCCCCCTAAGAAAACCACCTGCTTCGGTCTGGGCACCCGGGCAGTATCACAGCCCATACACAAATATGACGAAATGTCGATATTTATGGAAAATACTTGTCTTGCTTCGATTAACAATCAAACGATTCACACTATTATTATTATTATTATTATTATTATCTCGACGTCACTTATTCACTCTCTTTTATTCCCACTCTGCGTATCCTTATTTTTCGACTTATACAGCGGCTCGGCTTTGGTGGAAATCCGACTGTATCTAATCGTTCTCGAGTCACTGCCTGGTTGAAAATTGTATGCTACCACCAAATACGAATACTGAATCATTTTTTTCCGAAACCACGTGCACCATTCAAACTGGCTGCCTTCAACGTTCGCACACTTATGCAGGTTGGACAACAGATAGGGCTGGCTATGTCTTTATAGAGTCTTAATATTGATATTTGCTGTCTATCCGAGACCCGTATTCAAGACTCTGGCGAAGTACTACAAATTCGCTCTACATCTGTCACTTCGAAAAGCTTGTTTTACGTGCGCTTATCCGGAGACCCTGTGGCATCTTCGTCTGGTCTTGCTGGCGTTGGTGTCACACTAAGCGCTCGAGCTGAGGCAGCACTAATCGATTGGATCCCCATTAACAGTCGGTTATGTGCTGTTAGATTAGAGAGTTCTATCAAAGTGAGAAGTCGGCGTGAGAAACAATGTCTTTTCGTCATCTCCGCCTATGCCCCGACAGATTGCAGCCCGGATGCAATCAAGGATGAGTTTTACCACCAGTTATCTGTTCTTCTCCAGAAAGTGCGTTCGACAAATATTGTAGTACTAGCCGGAGGCTTGGATGCTCAGGTCGGGCGTCTAGGCACAGACGAGAGTCGTTTAGTTGGCCGATGGTGACTCGTTGGTCGCAGGTCAGATAACGGGGACCGTCTACTGCAACTTTGCACAGACCACAACCCGTTTCTGGCTAGCACTAACTTTCGGCACAGTCGTCGCTGATGTGTCACCTGGCGTCCTCCCTCTGCATCTCAAGCCTGGACTCAGATTGATCACATTGCAATCAGCTACCGCTGGCGCGGTTGTGTACAAGACTGCTGCTCCTTTTGGAGTACCTATCTGGACTCTGACCATGCCTTGGTCTGCGCCAATCTTACCTTACTTTTCAGTGGCCAACGAAGTGACCGTCACCAACGGATTGATATTAGCAAGCTGGTTGCAACTTCTGTTGCAAATAAGTATCGAACCGAGCTAGCCTCTAGGCTAGCTACCACTCCACCGAAAAGTATAGATGAGCATTGGTCGCAATTGTATGACGCCATGAAAATAGCGGGTACAGTCACTTGTGGGTTCGCGAAACGTCCCGCTTATAAGCACTGGGTTTCTTCAGGCTCCTTACAACTTATTGAAGCCCATCGGTCTACTCCGGGTGACTGTGAATTTGACCATAAACGAAGGATGTTACGTAATGAAATTGGGCAAAGCTTGCGTGTAAGGACCGAGAAGCCTGGTGGTCGGAGCGTGCTAATGAGCTGGAAGCAGCAGCTGCATCTGGTAATTACCGGAAGCCCTTCCAACTCATCCGAGCCACTGGCAGCAAGAAGTCTGGTGTGAGTGAAACAATCTGCAAGGATGATGGGATGCCAATCACTAACATCCATCAGCGCATTAGACGATGGGCAGAATTCTTCGAAGAGCAGGCCAACTGGCCTGCTGCTCCGGCAACATCAGTCAGACTGTCCTACCCTGCATGGCCGGTGACGACTGATCCACCAAACGAGGAGGAAGTCCGCAAGGAACTCCAACTCTTGAAGCGTTACAAATCACCTGGCCCAGATGACTTACCTCCGGCTCTTTTTAAAGATGGTGGTGAATTTTTGACTAAGGAACTGACGACGTTGTTTACAAATGTTTGGGAACTAGAGAGTGTACCAACGTCATGGAATGAGCCGATAGCTGTCCCTATCGTTAGAAAGGGTTCACGTCGTTCTTGTAACAACTATCGGGGGATAAGTCTACTTCCGATTGTGTCCAAGCTATTGGCTTCGTAGGTTGTTCAAAACCCGAGAAAGATTGACTCGCGAGGAGCAGGCTGGGTTTCGTTCTGGTCGAGGATGCATTGATCATATCTTTACCCTCCGCCAAATGTTCGAACACCGCCATACTTATCAAAGGCCAACAATCGTAGTGTTTCTTGACATCAGGGTTGCCTTCGATTCGTTGGACAGGACTATTCTCTGGGATTGTCTGTTGAAGAAGGGTGTGCCTGAGAAGTTTATTAACATCCTAAAAGCCCTATATAAAAACGCCTCAGGCAGAGTGAGGGCATACAACCACCTCTCTCCATTGTTCCATTCGAGCATTGGGGTTAGACAGGGTTGCCCAATCTCACCATTCCTCTTCAACTTTGCCATCGATGACATTCTAGAAACAGCTCTGATGGATGTAAGTAATGGTGGTGTTTATCTGTTGCCTGGAGAAAGACTTCTCGACCTTGAGTATGCGGACGATATTGTCTTACTGTGCGATAATGCCCAAGGCATGTAATCCGCACTTAATCAGTTGGCAATCAGTGTCCGTAGGTATGGTATGTGCTTTGCACCGTCGAAGTGCAAAGTACTTCTACAAGACTGGCAGGATCCTAATCCTGTACTCACCCTGGATGGTGAGCAGATAGACGTAGTCGAGAAGATCGTGTATCTGGGTAGCTGCATAAGTGCTGGTGGGGGTGTGAGTGATGAGATCAATGCACGTATAGTGTAAGCCAGAGCGGCTTATGCCAATCTGGTCCACCTTTGGCGCCTTCGCGATGTTAGTCTGGCCGTGAAAGGTCGATTTACAACGCGTCGGTGAGAGCAGTTTTGCTCTATGCTTGTAAAACCTGGTCTCTCCGAGTTGAGGACGTTAGACGACTTTCTGTGTTCGATCATCGCTGTCTCCGAAGGATTGCTGACATTCAGTGGCAACACCATGTCAGTAATGCAGAGGTCCGGCATCGTGTGTTCGGACACAGAGATGATAATTCAATTGGTGTCACCATCTTGAAACACCGACTTCGGTGGCTTGGACATGTTCTCCGAATGTCGTCCCAGAGAATTCCACGTCGTGCATTATTTGCCGACTCTGGGACTGGTTGGAAGAAGCGGAGAGGTGGTCAGTGCATGACATGGTGTCGTGGCATGAAAGAAAGCTGCAAAGGACTGGCTTGTGTTGGTCCTTCACGACTCCCTGGTTGGGGTCCGAGAGATGGTGCTACACAGTGGCTAGAGACGTTATCAGATATGGCTCAGAATAGAAGCCAGTGGCGATCCTGCTGTAACCTTCTTTTACTTTCTTCATAAAAGTGGTTGTGTCTCCCTTACCTGAAAGTTTTCTTCTGATTGTTGTGTTTAACTGACTGACTAGCTGACTCATTTGTACATAGATCAAAAGTAGCATTAACTAGCTTTTAACTTTGAAAATCGTATAAGCTTTAGTCCCTCTATAATAGAGAATGAATTCTATCGAGACCATAGAGATATGTTTTGTTATTGATTGAAACTGTCAAACAGAATCATAAAGTTTTTGTTTGTGTTAAGTCAGTTAACTTAGTGACTACATTCATACTTGATCATAACGGAAACTGATCTTCAAATTGCAACATCCATTAATATTATTACGATTCCAGCCTCATCTGTTTACGTTGGGGGTATTCAGTTAACAAATGAAGTCAGTGGTATAGAATATTCTAAGTACAAAACAGTATTAGTCAAAATTTACGAAGATCAGCCCTTGTGGATTGGTGTCTAATAAGATCGTAGCAAGGACCTAGAAAGTCCACTTGGCCTTTATCAAGTTACATTATTTATGATGTAGGCAAGATGTTCTCCCAGAAGCCGAATTTACTCAACAGCTGTCCGCTCTTTATTACTGTATGGTTGTGAAACATGTTCTGTTAATTTAGGAGGTATGTTCAGGTCTCAGGTCTTTGGTCATAGACATCTTATAAACACTGATCGCATATCGCTAAACGAATGATTGGACAATACTTCAGTTAGGCATACGGTACTAGGCAAAGATAGCAAAAGGACTAATGAGTTAGTAAATTTTCGTTGACTGCGGTGATGATGTCATGTATTTATTACTTAGATCTAACTAGCACTCTTTTCAATTGTCAATATTTTCTGATGTCAAAGTAGTTCGGAACAAAGCTAGAGTTGAACAAATTAAAACATGACATCGTACCATATAGTTATCGAGTATTGGTCTGAACTCTGTAGATGCCAACTACTTGGTTGGAGACTTTAGCTGATATTCACTTTTTTGATTGAGATCCTG